TCGGCGCCCGCTAATCATCCAATCGCCTTCTCCGCACCCTGGTGGCGTGGCTTCCGGGCCGCTGAAGGTCCCAGCACCACCGGCTTCTTCCCCAGTTCCAGTGTCGTTCTCCTGCATCCGACCTGTCCCATTCTTCAGGCGCCTCTTCCCCACCTAGCCTCCGCCACAAACCCTCAGGTCAAGGCCACCGGCGGTCCCCGGAAGAGAGCCGATTTAGTTGATTTCGCGGTATGTGGTTGACAACATCCCCGTCACCGTCATTGATTGTGCCCCCTTTTCTAACTACCTAGGTTATATATTCCGATACTGTATGCTTGTGTAGCTCATCGCTTTCTGAGTTTGGACCCCGTGTACAGGGGCATCGGCAGAGCTCGGTAGTGACAACCTCTGGCCTGGAGGTCTTTTGATTGCTCGATAGACTGAGTGCGCGTCCTCGATTTGCCTGCCCAAACCCTGATCAGTGTGAATGCTAAATTCCTGATGCTAACACATGGAATATGGGTGTTGCCTTACAGGTGATAGTTCTACCATTGATTTCGATGATGTCCACCATATGCTCAGAGAGCAGGGATGGCAACTGTAATCAGCTATACTGAACGTAGACGCGCAGTCCTCATACCGCTTGAACCAGTGACAAGACAGAGTCCAGATGACCGAGCGGGACTCAGGCCTAAGCCGTTTTCTCCAATGCGGGCCAGAAACACTGCCCAACTTAATCTTATATGATAGTAGCCTTTTGCACTGGTACTACTGTACTATCTACCCTCACTCACTTTCAGTAGGTGTACAGGAAGACTCAAGGAGACCGAGTTTGATATTGCTACTACTACTGCTACTACTACTATACTTACTAGCAGTGTAGCTGAGTGACAGTAGTACTGGTGCTATTACTGACGCTAACCTTTGCCAGAGGTGACGCTTATTAAAACCCACAGTGAGTATGAATCTGGGTTTATGGTATTCCGATTGACTACATGTTTATGGTCGGAGCACATCAAGGCTTTCCTTAGCTTCTGCTTTCTCAACTCTATCCACCAGGCTGTGTCATCTTATTGATTAACGAACCATTATTAAGTAATAGCTCAAGTTTTACCATGCCTTTATGTCACATGGTGCCATTTACCGCTATCAGGCTAACTTTTGGCAGTATCTAACTTCATCTTGGGATTTAACGGAAGTCTCCTGTCTAATAGGAGAGCAATCTGCTCCATAATCAACTGATATTGCTATACCATATACCTGTGTCAGTAGCTGAATAGGCAACAGTAGCTTATATAGGCCCACTCATTATTCCCTACCCCCTGCATGTTTTCCCACGAAAACGATGGTTATGGGGTTTTATGGGTGGGGAATTAGGACACGTAATGGAATCTACTTTAATAAATGCTAAATGCATTTTTATTTTACTGTATTTAGA